ATAAAGAAATATGGACGAACACATATGATGGTGGATATCGATATGGACACATGACGACCAACTTGATAGAGGTAATCAATTCAACTTTAAAGGGTGCACGTCACTTACCAGTAGCGGCTTTCGTAAAGACTACATATTTTCGTTTGGGGAGCTTTTTTGCGAAGCTCGGGGGACAAGCTCAAACCTGGATGCAAGGCGGTCATGTCTATCACCCTAGATTAGTTGCAGATCTACAGAAAAAAATTTCTACATTAAATGGAATGTCTGTAACAAGATTCTCTAGAAGGCATGAAATGTTTCGTGTCACAGAGTTGTCGCGACCTCTTTAAGGGATTGAAGCTGTGTCGTTAAGAGTAAATCTAAGGGACAAAACGTGCGACTACGGGTTTTTTCAAGCTCTTAAGTATCCATGATCTCATGTGATAGCAGCTTGCTCGCATACACGTCAAGACTATAACCATTTTGTGGATCTTGTATACCTACTATCTGAAGTTTTTAAGGTATACGAATTTGAGTTTCCCCCCATAGGAATGACAAAGACCCGATGAGATTCAAGATTGGCTTCCGATTGTACCAAATTCGAGTTTATTGAGGGAGCGTGGTGGTCCAAAATCCAATCGAATTCATTGTGATATGGATATTCGAGAAAGATCTAGACAAGACAGAAGATGTGGGCATTGTACAAACCTATGACACACTAGAAAAACATGTCCACTTCTGTTGTCATCAAGTAACAATTGATGAGAAAATGATGTACTTTTTTATTAAATAATAATTCTTGTACTTTAATTTGCATTTACTTCAAGTTAATGTCATTCGATAATCGCTGATGAAGATTAAAAAAATGATACAATAATACGAGATTGGACGTTTGCGTTATATGTGATTATAATAAAAGAGATAATAAGTGACAAACTTAAGAAAGTTATCAAACAATTTGGTATTTCAAAATAATTTTAAATACAACAAACTTACAATAAGTATTAAATGGTAAATGATAACCAAATTGCAATAACTGATATTAAATGGTAATAAACAAAATTAACTGAAATACATTAAAAAAAAGTCAAACAAATTTAACAAAATAAAGTAATTATTAAATGAGAAATAATAAAAAATTACAATTAAAAAGTCCAATAAACTAAATACAAATATAATAAAAAACAAAATCTATCGATGACTGCGACGCAAATGTGTTCCGCATGGCGGTGGTTGTCGGTCTCGAGGAGGATTTCTTCGTATCACTAGTTGTGACTCCTCGCTGTCATCATCATCGTCGTCGTCGTCGTCGTCGTCCTGAGTAGGTACATTAGGTTGATGAGGAGCTGATGACGATGAAGCACCTCCATAGAATAAGGACCTTGGAGGTGTATGACTGACTATCCCACCGGCCTACGAAAACTGGGAAAACTCATAAAACCCAGACATCGTTGAGTGTGAAAACTGTACATGAGGTTTCTGTGCTGCGGCCATGGGTGATGAGGCTGAACCTGCCAAATATCTAGCATATGAACCCCAAGTTAGATCTGCAAACATAAACTCATAATAGCCTCCAGAGGGGTCATCTGTGACGGTGGCGACGGCGGGGTCATAAAAGTAGGTAAAGGAGGCAGCGATGACAACTGGTAATGGAAAGGCTGTGGCGGTATCATATATAGCTGCGGTATGTAAGTCGCTGGATACGGTGGCTGCTGTAAAGGTCCTGCTGATGTAGCTAAGGATGAACCGGAAGCACATGCTCTCCGTCCACGAGTCGGGGGACAATGGTGTTGTGTCGGTGAACGTCTCTGTCGACGTCGCGAAAAGGTCTGCCCTCGTGCATCCTCGGGAAGCAAAAACGGTTTCCCGTTACTGTTGAACCACTCGTAATAACCGTCAGCAACCATCAAGAGGTCATAAAAATGGGCTCTCTATGGGGAATGTGCTGATGTCGATCCCCCCACAACACGACCCACGCATGATGCCTCACCAGCCAATCTATATCTGTCTTACCGCGTCTATCTGTGCTACGCAACTCGTCCATATTGCGAGGTACTTCCAGAATTGGTTGAAAACAACCAAATTTCCGGAGCATGCGATCAGTGGAGTGCCACTCGACGGCCGCATAACAGATCAAGGGGACCACCGCCATCCAAACATCTGATGGGCCCCTCAACTCAGGTGGGATCACCGCCCTCACATCATCAGTAGAATATGACACCCATTCAAACTAAAACAAATATATATAATTTTTATCAAAATAATAATCTAATTATATAACTATAATCTAAAATCGATTTTTAAACATTAAAATTCATACCTGTGTGTCAGCCTTCTGATCGATTAACACCCTAATTTTTTCTAAATCACCAGGTAGCTCCTGATGATTTTTCCTATCAGTAGACCACCTATTCAAGAAAAATAATTTCTTATTGACTGTATAAAATTATTAATATACAAAATCAGTTTTATAATTACCTCAGGAGTAGCGGAAATACGAATGGGTTCTTGACAACGGGACATAAAAAGGGCAATCAATACCATGGCCAAGACTACAGCAACATGAGACATCCGCTGATAACATTACACCTGTAGTCAATGGCTCGACACATCTCCCTGTACAGGCAAACCAAAACTGCCGAGCCCCAATTGAGTGATCCGGCCAGATGAAAGTCGCCAAGATGTTGCAACCACATACAATGAACTTGGTTGCGCGATTTGTCCGGCATCAGCAACCCTCCTATCAGCTGTAGTATGCATGCCCGTGCATACTGTTTAACTTCATCTTCAGACGCGTCCTCGCTCAACTCTCGAAAATTGGCATCTAACCAATTTAACGGTATCCTTCCACCGTTAAAATTTTCCAGGATACGTCCTAGACTAACCCGACACAAAGTAGTTCAAGAACCGAAAGTTATTCCTGATATCACACCTCCATCCACCGGAAGCCCCAAGTGCATAGAAACATCCTCAAGCGTGATCGTGCACTCTCCGCATGAAAGATGGAATGTGTGGGTCTCCAGCCTCCACCACTCTACTAAGGCAGAAATAAGGTCTGGTTCTATCTTACAGTGACCCTGATATCTACCTAGGTGACCGAATCCAGCCTCTATTAAATATGGCATTACACGAGTAGGTATAACTAACTTAAGATTCCTAATAAAAGGATCTAATATACAGTCTCTCTCCTAAAATATAAATAATTACACAAATTAATTTTTAAACTAATAATCATGCATTAAATAAATTAATTAATTAAATTAAAACGTTAAAATGTTATCGTATCAGCAAAGTGTCGAGATATATGATTTCCATCCAACCAAAGTAGATCGCCTTCCATTTTATATCTGCAAAAAAAAATTAATTAAATAAAATATTAAAAAATTAAAATAATTAAATAAATTACTAAAAAATACTAAATATAATAAAATATACCTTAATAAGATAATATAAGAGTATTTGAGAGAAGTTGAGAGGATTTGGTGTGATGAAAGTGATTGAAAATAGGGTATTTATAGGGAGGGATGGTAGGTGTGAACAGGCGGGGGTAATTTGGTAATTAAGGGTATAGCGCAGGCCAAGGGCCGCACCTTTCTGACGCGTGTCAGAATCACAGGTAAGGCGCGGCTTCTGCTCCGCGCTATACCCTTAATTACCAACCTGCCCCGCGCCATACACACCTGTATCCATGTCAGCATAAGGCGCGTCGCAGGGGGCGCGCCTTACCCCACGTGGCGTCAAATCAGCGTATAGCGCGCTGCAAGGCGCGCGCCTTACTACAAAGGGTGTTAGATCAAAAAATATAGTCTTACCGATATTAGATCAATAAATATACCGATCACCAGTGATTTTTTGAAAAAAATGCCATAGATTCAAGCAAAATAGCTATTAAACAATAACTTTAGTTTACTAGAGACATTTACATCTTTTAGCTCGATGGAAACAAAATGATTTTCTAATCCCACTCTTCTAGAAGGATCATCTAGAAAGCGAATTGTTTTGAATGCATTTAGACAAAAAAAAAAAGCTAACATAGATGTTATGGGCCGAATTCTTATTTCATTTCGCTCCTGTCTTATTTTTTTATTTTTTTATTTTAATATCTCCATCTTCCGATCAAAGGTGATTGTGAATTGATTTTGTCACAACTTAACTATGAAGTTACCGTTTATGATCATGGGTCCATGCTAATATAAAAGCACCCGTTTAAAAATTTAAAAGATAGATAAATCAATAAAATAATTAAATAAACACGAAATATAGACGTAAAGTCAATTCAACTTTAGAAAAAAGGTATTATGAGAACAAAAAATGTTTTACAAAAATTAAAAATTATCCATATTTTTCATTAATAAATAAAATTTATTAAAACAAAATAACACAAAAATCGAAACATAAGAAAATTAAAAAAATGAAAATGATAATAAAAATAACATGAATTATATTTAACACCGATATGTGTATATATCTTTTTTGAAAGAGTTGGAATCATATTCATATATATTTTTGTTTGAATTGTCCGAGTGATTATAAAATAATATATTATCAGAATTTTCTTAATTAATTTATGTACATATATCCGACAGATATAGTTATTTGAATTTAAATCCTCTAAAGATAACAATATATTTTTTACCACTAAATTCATTAAAGATTCTTATAATTTTAACTTTTAATAATTTAATAATTTATATTAATTATATTTTGCATATTGCATTCACATTACATAATCCCAATATTATATCTCTCTACATCACTACATGGTAGTCTCATGCCTTGCTTGTGAACAAAGTATTCTACTTTAGCTTTAAGCTTTTACCATTAAATACAAATTTTCTCTCCCTCTTTTACTCTCTTTGCTTCACTCTTTTGTTTTCCCCAGAAAAAAAATCAAAGTCTCCCTGAATCCATTCAAAGCTCCAGTTTAACACATTCAAAATCAAACCCATAGATTTCTTCTCTGCAAAGATCTGGATCTGGGTATGGAGGCAAATTCTCTTTAATTTCCCAGTTTTAATCGAGGTATCAGATCGAAAGTTCGATATTAGAAGTGTTTGAAAGTGGGATTTTACCGATGGAATCGGGCACTGGTTCTCGTTATGTTCATCAGCTGCTCGGAAACTCACCGGATAAGCAAGGAGCCGATCATCCTGACGCAGCAGCCACCACGAGTTCCGGAGGAGGAGGAGAAGGTATGACTCCGGGAAGAAGGCCACGTGGACGTCCGGCGGGGTCGAAGAACAAGCCGAAGCCACCCATAATCGTTACTCGCGACAGTCCGAACTCACTGAGATCCCACGTGCTCGAAATCTTGTCCGGTTCCGACATAGTTGATTCGGTTTCGTATTACGCGCGGCGGCGCGGTCGTGGAGTTTGTGTGCTCAGCGGAAATGGTGCCGTCACGAATGTTACTTTACGGCAACCGGGCGCTCCACCTGGAGGTGTCGTAACACTACATGGTCGGTTCGAGATTTTATCTTTAACCGGGACTTCTCTTCCACCGCCAGCGCCGCCGGGAGCTGGTGGATTGACGGTTTATCTCGCAGGTGTTCAGGGTCAAGTAGTCGGAGGGAGCGTGGTGGCTCCGTTGACGGCTTCGGGTCCGGTTGTATTAATGGCTGCATCGTTTGCGAATGCTGTTTACGATAGGTTACCGCTTGAAGAAGAAGACCCACAACAACAACAACAACCACCCGTAGCTTCACAATCGTCTGGATTGACTGGAAGTGGCGGAGGCAGTGGAAACGGTGATGGCGCAACCGGAACCGGCGGCGGCGGCGTTCCTTTCTATAATTTGGGATCAAACATGGGAACTTATCCTTTTCCAGGTGATGTATTTGGTAATTGGAGTGGTAGTAATGCAACAAGACCTTCCTTCTAATGTTCACTGTGAATCCAAATCAAACGATTTCTTGAATAAAAAACAATGTTTATAAGTTCTGGATTTGTTCCTTTTTGCAAAACAATGATTCCTTGAAGGAAGAAGAGTGATTCTATTCTTTTTACTGGGATTTTCTCACTTTCCAAACACATGATTAATTAATTTATGTATGAACAATAGAGGTTTTCTAAAACTACATATAAATATATACTGTTCTAGAGTTGTCTTCAAAATTCAAATAATCTTCACAAATTAATACTTGGGAAGAGCTGTTATTAATCATTTGAATTTAAAATTTCATTTATGATCATTCTTTGCATCTCTGTGTTGAATATTAAGAATTGATATAACATAAATTTATAAAAATTTAATTTGTTCATAATTTTATATGTATAATCTATTTAAATAAAAGTAGGATTAATATATAGTTGTTTCATTTGTCACATATAGTATTATATTAGGGTTTAGGGAAGCTTGTAATATCATAAATAGAACCCTAAAATTCCTAAAAGTGGGAAATGGGAGAATTTTAGTTTTGGGACTTTAAAAATATTGGAAATAGAGAAATATATAAAGGACGCTTAGAAAGAAACATTAGAGTACATCCATTAGAGCAACATAATATAATTTAAAGAATAAAATTGCAAATTAACAATTAAATAAATGTACGAACATTTCATTATTTTATTTTTTTAACAGTCTTTGTGATTATTAGATAATATACATTCAAATTTTTTTTTAATTATTAATAATACGTACACATTCTGCATACTAGCTATTCATTTATCTTATTCTTAATACATGAATAGATTTTTTATTAAATAACTTATTGTCTTTTTTTTCATTTATTGTATTCTTGAATTCTTTTTGTTGACTTTTAGTAACGTTGTTGGATTTTGATGGTTTCTAAATATTATGAACTTACTTTATAAATAAGCGAGAAAGAGCAACATTAAGTAGGGAAAAGCAAAATATAATAAAAACTGTTAAGGTAGACATATATAATAAGATGTATAACGTCATCTTATATAAACTCTCAAACCTCTCTTTGCCACCTCTATAAGAAGTGACAATAGCCTAAGGTAAGATGAATACTCTGCACTATGTTAGGGTTATTTATTCTTGAGTTATACTTATTTGATAACGAGACTCGAGACTCGTTTTAAAACAATACATCTGAGATGAAAAATGTAACATCCGCATACATACCTAAACATTTAAGTACATATTTCTACTCTAACAAGATCTTGATAATTTAAAAAATAAATTAATATGTAATATATGGATTGTATATAATTTATACCGTAAACGAAGTGGATGAAATTATATTGTTAACTTCTTAGTATATATAAAGTTTGATATGAGATTATGATTGAATCTATCAACTGACTTTAGTGGTTAAGAGAAGTGTTGTTATTCTTAAAAGTTCTGGGTTTGAACAATTATATTTATAGGATATATATACATTATCAATGATTAAGAAAGATTGTGAATATACATTACTTTATAATTATTTCAGACTATTAAAAAATATTGATATTGTTATTAACTTCTTAGTATTGTTGCTGAAAAAGCTTCGATAAAAATTTAACATTATTTGAGAAGTTTTAGTGCTTATTTTGCCCCATGAGAACATGTTTACATTAAATTATTAAACTATCATGTTATTTGATTATTAATGGGTTAATAGTCATCTGCGCCGAAATCAAAGTTTAATGTTAAAATTAAATTTTTTAAAAATTTAATAATAAAATTGAAATAAATCTTAAAATCTAGTGATATTTTAAGTAGTTTATTTTAATTTTTTTAGAATAACCATTGTCGCAATTAGTATTTTATTGTAAGAATATGTCATCAACCTCATAACTATATCAACTTCAAAAAGAATATTATTATGAATCCTGACAAGAAAATTTCGATAGAAAATGCTAACGGTCTCAATGATTTGAATAAAGCTTTTAAATAAGAACAATAGAAAGATTTTATTTTTTTAACTTTTTTAAGTGCATTGGCTAAATATAAAAACTTCATTAAATTTCAAGGACTAACAACATATTTTGACCACTTTAAAACTACAAAAGCTTTTTTTCTTGAATAGTATGGTAGTTACAATGTAATATCTATTTAGAATCTTTCTTAGTTATTGACAATGCACGCATATCCTACATAACTGTTTGAACTTAGAATTTTTAAGAAGAACAACATTCTCATTTAACCTCTGAGATCATTTGACAAGTTCGAAACTAAAATAACTTACTCCTTTTTACGTTACAAGATATCATAAAAAAATAAAGTCTTTATCGGTTTAACATTGGTATTAAATTAAAACATTATATATATAAGTATTTTTTCCTCGCAATATGCTATCATCTATACGGATGGACCGAAGGGGCGGGTGAGGAAGTCGCTCCACTAAAAATTTTAATTTTTCTTATATTTTAGAATTTTTGTATATTTTCTGTTGATAATATGTTTTCGTTCCCTAAAATATTATAAGTTTGTTTCCCTCTAAAATTTTATACATTTGTCCCAGCGTAAAATCCTTTATCCGTCCTTGATCATCCATGCAGTTATACCAATTTTAACAACAATAAATCAGTAAGTAAATTTCAATAAAAAAATAAAAGGTTGATGAGTAGAATATAAATTTTACATTGACGGGGTAAGATATTTAATTTTTAACTCTTGAAGTACAAGGGCTAAATATCAAACTTTACCAAAGTATAGGTACTGAAGGTATATTTTGACACATAAATCTTTGTCCTCAAAATCACACCAACCAAACTGGAGGAATTAATGCAGGAACCACAGTTTTGTTTGGACCATAACAATGGAGAAAATCTTCTGAGACACTGAACTACCTTCAACGCGAAAATCTCCACAAGACTCGTGAAACAGTTGGTGGGCTTATTAGTACAAATAGGACGAGTTGTTCCATTCCCACCATTGAGTCATCTTCAACCTTTCCCTGTCATTCATCTCTGAACTCAGCAAAATAATAATTTCCAGGCCTAATAATTTATCAAAAAGCTTGGAAAAAGTTTAGTGTCATGGTGAGGAGATCCCTTCTTTTAATAACGTTGACAAGGGAAAGGTGATTTTGTTTTGTTTTTTTTTTTATTGTAATTGTACTGTTTTAAGTTTAATCAACAATGGCGACATCGTCTCAAAAAAATAATAAGGGGGGTTCGAGCAACTCTCCGGGCGGACAACAGGTGAAATTCGCCCGCCGGACATCGAGCGGCCGGTACGTTAGTTTGTCGAGGGAAGACATGGATATGTCGGGAGAGCTGTCGGGGGATTACATGAACTACACCGTGCATATCCCGCCGACGCCTGATAATCAGCCAATGGATAACTCGATCGCCTCCAAGGCTGAGGAGCAATATGTGTCGAACTCGTTGTTCACTGGCGGGTTCAATAGCGTTACTCGGGCGCATTTGATGGATAAGGTGATCGAGTCGGAGGTTACTCATCCCCAGATGGCGGGGGCGAAGGGTGCGTCGTGCTCTATGCCTGTTTGCGATGGCAAAGTCATGAAGGATGAACGTGGAAACGATATAACGCCATGCGCATGCAGGTGCATAGAAACACTCTTGCATACACGTGATTTTATGTCGCGTGTAGAATTTATGAGTGACATTGTTGTGTTTTTCCTATAGGTTCAAAATCTGCAGGGATTGTTATATGGATGCTCAAAAGGACAAAGGCTTGTGCCCTGGTTGCAAGGAACCGTACAAGGTTGGGGACTATGAGGACGACCCGGAATATACGAATGGGACGTTGAAATTGCCGGGTCCGAATGGAAAAAGAGATGCTAATAACATGTCGATGATGAAAATGAATCAAGGAGGAGACTTTGATCACAATCGATGGTTGTTTGAGACAAGTGGTACTTACGGATACGGCAATGCATTCCGTGACGATTATGGTGACGATGGTGATGAGAGGCTCCAAGGGGACTTGGAGACCAATGACAAGCCTTGGAAGCCCTTGAGTCGTGTAATTCCCATAAAAGCTAGCATCATTAGCCCTTACAGGTATTATTTCGATTCAATTCAACTCTTCAAAAATTTTTGTTCGAATAAATTAATTGATCTTATTATGTAGGTTATTGATTTTCGTCCGATTGGTGGTGCTGGGATTCTTTCTACATTGGAGAATTGTGAATCCAAATAACAATGCCATATGGTTGTGGCTAATGTCCATCATATGTGAAGTATGGTTTGCCTTCTCTTGGATCCTTGATCAGATTCCTAAGTTGTGTCCGATCAACCGTTCGACGGATCTCGAGGTCTTACGAGAGAAGTTCGATTTACCATCACCATCGAATCCGACAGGCCGTTCGGATCTTCCGGGAATTGACTTTTTTGTATCGACTGCTGATCCAGAGAAGGAACCGCCTCTCACCACTGCCAACACTATCCTTTCTATCTTAGCAGTTGATTATCCCGTGGAAAAGGTAGCATGTTACATCTCCGACGACGGTGGCGCGCTCCTTACATTCGAAGCAATGGCAGAAGCATGTAGTTTTGCCGATTTATGGGTTCCATTTTGTCGAAAACACGACATTGAGCCAAGGAATCCCGATTCATACTTCAACTTGAAAGGTGATCCGACTAAAGGCAAGAGTCGTCCCGACTTCGTCAAGGATCGTAGAAGGATAAAAAGGGAGTATGAAGAGTTTAAAGTGAGGATCAACGGACTCCCCGACGCGATTCGAAGGCGATCAGAGGCATTCAATGCAAGGGAAGAAATGAAGATGTTGAAACACCTTAGGGAAAGTGGTGCTGATGCAATGGAGAAACCTAAGGTCCAAAAGGCAACATGGATGGCTGATGGCAGCCATTGGCCTGGAACTTGGTCCAACCCATCAAAGGAACACTCGAAAGGAGACCATGCCGGGATTCTCCAAGTGATGTTGAAGCCACCGAGCCATGATCCGCTCACCGGAAACGGCGAAGATAAGCTCATTAGTTTCACCGATGTAGACATAAGGTTGCCAATGTTTGTTTACATGTCACGAGAGAAACGTCCGGGGTATGATCATAACACCGATGTAGACATAAGGTTGCCAATGTTTGTTTACATGTCACGAGAGAAACGTCCGGGGTATGATCATAACAAGAAAGCTGGCGCCATGAACGCCTTGGTCCGATCATCGGCAATCTTATCGAACGGACCGTTCATCCTCAATCTCGATTGCGATCATTACATAAACAACTGTCGAGCTATTCGAGAAGGGATGTGCTTCATGATGGATCGAGGTGGTGAAGACATATGCTATATTCAGTACCCTCAGAGATTCGAAGGAATCGATCCTTCGGATCGGTATGCTAATCACAACACCGTGTTTTTCGACGGTAACATGCGTGCACTTGATGGTGTTCAAGGGCCGGTGTACGTCGGAACTGGTTGTATGTTCAGGCGATTTGCGTTGTATGCATTTGATCCTCCAAATCCTGATAAAATGACAGTGGCTAAAGAGAATGAAACGCAACCATTGACGACTAGTGACTTTGATCCTAATTTGGATGTGAATTTGTTGCCGAAACGATTCGGGAATTCGACGATGCTTGCGGAATCGATACCGGTCGCCGAGTTCCAAGGTCGGCCACTTGCTGATCATCCCGCAATCAAATTTGGTAGGCCTGCTGGTGCTCTCAGGGTCCCTCGTGAACCACTCGATGCAGTAACTGTTGGCGAAGCTGTTTCCGTCATTTCTTGCTGGTTTGTGCTTATTTAATCTGAACTCGAACTCAAACTCAAACTAAATATAAATCTAGTCCATCAATTCGATTTGTCTGATGTATTATGATTCTTTTTTTCTCCCATTAGGTATGAAGACAAGACAGAATGGGGTGACCGAGTAGGGTGGATTTATGGTTCGGTGACGGAAGACGTGGTGACGGGCTTCCGTATGCACAACCGTGGCTGGCGATCGGTTTATTGCATCACAAAGCGTGACGCATTCCGTGGTTCAGCACCAATCAATCTTACCGATCGTCTCCATCAAGTGCTCCGATGGGCGACGGGTTCCGTCGAGATCTTCTTCTCCAGGAACAACGCCTTGCTCGCTGGCAAGAAGCTCAAATTCCTTCAACGACTGGCTTATTTAAACGTCGGCATATACCCTTTCACTTCATGTTTCCTCATCGTTTATTGTTTCCTCCCCGCAATGTCACTCATCTCCGGCCAGTTCATAGTCCAGGAACTCAACATCTGGTTCTTGGTTTACCTTATGATCATCACATTCTGCCTCATCGGCTTAGCCCTCCTCGAAGTAAGATGGGCCGAAATCGGATTAGAAGAATGGTGGAGAAACGAACAGTTCTGGCTCATTTCCGGTACCAGCTCTCACTTCGCTGCATGCATTCAAGGTCTTCTAAAAGTGATCGCTGGCATAGAAATCTCCTTCACTCTAACATCGAAATCAGCGGGTGAAGATGAAGACGACATATACGCCGACCTGTACTTGGTGAAATGGACTTCGTTGATGATCCCACCCATCGTCATCGCCTTGGTAAACATTGTGGCACTTGTCATCGCCTTCTCCAGGACACTGTTCGGTAACGGCCAATGGAACATGTTCATCGGAGGTGCATTCTTCGCCTCCTGGGTGTTATGTCATCTCTACCCTTTCGCTAAAGGGTTGATGGGCCGACGAAGGAAGACACCCACCATTGTCTTCGTCTGGGCCGGTCTCATCTCCATTATCATCTCATTGCTGTGGATGGCACTTAATCCCGGCGGTATCAACTCCATGGGAACTACGGCCACCGCAAACAGTGGTTTTTCATTCCCCTGAGCAGCAAAAGGCTTCTCCCTCGCCTAGTCACCTTGAATCTCTCGGCCGCCGGTTTTTGTTTTGTTTGTTTGTTTCTTTGTTTTTGGTATATTTTTCTTAGACGAAAACAAATTCAACAATCTCCCTAGTGATTGCCTGTATTACATTAAAAAACTTATATATAAAATTGATTTTTTTATTTTCTTTTCACAAAATTACTATATAATTAGAATAGTGTTTTCTGGGGATAATTCCTGAAATAAGACCAAAAAACTTCATGTGAAAATGTAATTAAAATACAAGGATTATATATACAATTTATGCATAGTATAAGAACTTATGGAGGAATTGAACAATTTTTTTAAGTATCATAAACCAAATCACATCGTCTAAATAAGACAATTTATGCATAGTATAAGAAATTACACTAAGTGGTTTATTGTTAAATGGTTAAGAGTATTTTTAACATATATTATTTTGTGATCACCTTTAGTTTAATTAAAAAAAGAGTTTATATAATACTTTAAATTTATGTATTATTTTTAAGAGAAAATAACCTCAGTGACAAAAAATGCCTTATAATATACGATTTTAACCAACTTTTTTTGGATTTGCCAAAATGACCAACTAAATCGCAATGCGATCGATAATTCGCAACGCGATCTCCGGTATCGCAAATCAGTTTCCAGATTCACAACGCGATTTCCCAAATTCGCGTTGCGATTTCCTAAATCGCAATGCGAATACGTAAACAATGCGATTACGTAAATCGCAATGCGAATTAGGAAAATCGCAATGCGAATTAGGAAAATCGCAATGCGATTACGTATTCGCATTGCGATTTACGTAATCGCATTGCGATTTAGTAAATCGCAACGAGATTCTGACTATCTCAATACTGAATTTCAAATTCGCAACTCGATTTCTGAACTCGCAACAGGTTTTAATTTCGCAACACAAATGTTTTGGGTATATAACTACGCAACAGCAACAACTCATAACCTAAATCCCTAAATCGCAACTCATTCCATCTTCATCTATCACTCTCTCCGGCGACATCCGTTCCTATATCCAACGACATCCTTCCCCATCCGGCAACAGGTTTTAGTTTCGCAGCTCGTTTGTTTAGTAATTAATTTACAATGAAATCATCTAATGTTTGATCATGTTTGGATAGATTTGTGTTTTAGAGGGTCATGGAGAATGTTCATGGTGTTTTACAATATAGTCTTTACCATGAATCTTCAACTAAAACTGTCATAAAAAAAAGTTAACTTATGAAACTCTAATGTTACGTGCAAATAAATTGAATTTAGAGCCCCTAATGGATTTAGGCTATCTTATCAGAGAAATGGTAAAGTTTATTTGTTAACCGCAATGAAGATGTTGAACGATTCATTGCTTACATTAGTGTTTCAAGTGATGATTTACATTGTATGTTGTTGAACCTAGAAGTAGTGAAGTTCGGTCAGTAGCGAGTAGTAATCAACTAAGTTTTTCAACCCCAGTTTATGGTGCTCAAATTTAATGGTTCCACCACAATTTCATCACCAAGCAAAATTGTTTCACCACATTTCCAATACCAAACACAATCTCAAAACCCACAACCTTTCCCTAATCCAAATCCCAATCAACTTTCAGCACCAAATTCCGATTTTCGTATTGACCAGTTAGACGATGATGAGCCAACAGAAAAATTGAGTACTAGTCAGTATTCGAATTTGATCTTGGTCAATACCCGGACTTTGATCTTGGTCATACTCGGATTTGATGATTTTTCAGAAGAAAACAGACCCTGCGTGTAATTTTGGATATTGGTCAATACCTGAATTTTGATGATGAAACAGCCGTTGCCGAGGAATATGTTGTTGATGATAATGAGGAGAAAGTTACGACTGTAAATGAACATGTGAACATCCATTCTGTAATTCATAACACTGAAAAAGAAAAAAAGAAGAAGAAATCCCCAAAGAAAAGTCCCCGAAGAAAATACCACGGGAGTATAACTGGAATATCCAGAATTACTTCAGATACGAAAGAAGAGTTGGTAAATATAGCAGTTGATTGTTACACAAAAATTATTCGTATCAAGAAAGATGATTGTTTGATACAAAGGAAGACATGAAGATAGCTTTGTATACGAAATGTGTGAAGATGACTATCAATTAAAAGTTAACAAATCAAGCAAAGATCGTTTCGAAACAAGGTGTAGATTGACAAAAACTGTATGTGGCGTATGATTGCAAAGAGGATAAAAGATTGCGAAATGTTTCAAGTTAGGACTTTTATTGATAAACATACATGTTCAAGAACCCAAGTTTTCCTCACCATAGATAGGCAAACAAAAAGGTGTTGGGTGGTTTCTGGCTGAGTAATGTTTTTGAATGGTAAGGTATATCGGGACATGAAATTATGACTGACATGAATGCTCGGTTCAAGATTAGTATCTCATATCTCAAGCTTGGAGAGCCAAATGTTATGCCTTGAAATTGTGAGGGGTCGCCAGAAGCATCGTTTGCCCAACTGCCGGCTTATTGTCACAATTTAAAGCTGAAAAATCCTGGGTCAGTAACTCATATCAAAACAGATAGAGATGGACGCTTTGAGTTGCTGTTTATCGCCATTGGTGCTGCGGTTTAGTAAATCAATAATTTTGTTGACTCATTTTTGTTAGTTACATGCATTTCACATTTAAATGATTATATTCTTGTATATTTTGTAGATTTGTTCGTTTATTAATTGCATGTGCCCAGTTATTATAGTTGACGGAGCACTTTTAAAAGGTCGATACCTTGGAGTAAAACTTATTAGCAGTAGCCATGGATGCTAACAATGGGATACTGCCAATAGCTTACGGGGTTGGAAAATCTGAACCTCTGATTCATGGACATGGTTTATGGGGCATCTTAGGGATTGCATAGTCCTATTAGCAATTGACAATCATATCCTAGGCAAACTCAATTGACAACGCTGTTAAAGGTGTTTCCCAGATGCTTTCATGGACTTTGTGGTGTTCATTTGTATAGAAATCTAAAATCAAGGTCTGCTGGTATAAAAAATCACAAATGGACATACTTAAAGGCTGTAAAAGCTTATCGGGAAGTGGATTTTAATAAGCATATAATTGTTAAGACGTGTTTTGCTCAGTGTGCTCAAACACTAGAAGATGTCGGGTTTGAAAGATGGTCAAGAATACATCAACTTGGAGCAAGATAGGTTTCATGACGTCTAATAGGCAATCAATCAACGCTCTAAGTCGTCATTCCCGGAAATTACCCATTACTACGTTATGGAGTTTTTTCGAGCCTCTATTCACAGTGGTACTACAAGAAAGAAACCATGCAGATATTATTTCTTTAAATTCGTAACTTATCATATATTTTACTAAGTATTATTTATTTAAATTTATAGGAACATTGGAACATCGTGTTACACCATGGACAGAAAAAAAGATAACGAAACGTGTTGTGAAGTCAACGTCATGGAGAGTTGAATCATGTTCAAACACTTTGTTTGAATTACTAGATAATAACTTAAATGGGCTTGTCGATCTAAATGCAAAGACGTGTAATTGTATGAAATGGAAAACATCTGGTTATCCGTGTGGCTATGTTATAAAAGTTTCTCTTCATCTAAACCAAGATGATTCAAGCGCATACGCTATGGATTGCTACACTACAGAAGTATATCGACAGACTTATGGCGAGATTGTCTACCCTATTCCACATCCTTCTGAGTGGGACATACCAGATGACTTACAAACAGTTTTACCACCAGCCATGGACAGAAGGCTACCTGGCCGACCAAAAAGTCACGATCGTATACCTTCTAAGGGTGAAGAGAAGAAGAGATCGACATGTAGTAAGTGCAAGGAAAGTGGTCATACAAGGTTGACATATGGATCACCAATGCCATCACAATCATCTTTTCCTCTACCAAAATATGGATCCTCATCAAAATCCAAAGCTCATATGGTGTCAAGCAAAAGGCAATCAAAATCGCAATCATCTTTAAAATCCCAATCACAACCGGCTTCACTTTTGGGACTGTAACTTAGGTTTTTTAAATGCAACGTTGTATTATGTGGATTTTATGTGTGAACTTTTAACATTTTCAGTTAGGCATGTATTAGTAACTTGAGTTTGAAAATTGCTATGATCTGTTCAGTTGTTATCACTTATTAGGCATTCATTTGACTATCACAACACGGAAATGACGTTCGCAATCATCTTAATGTCTATCGCAACGCGGAAATGACTATCGCAATGCGAAATGAAAATCGCAACGAGAGAATCACAATGCGAAATGAAAATCGCAATGAGAGAATCGCAATGCGAAATGAAAATCGCAACGAGGGAATCGCAAAGCGAAATGAAAATCGCAACGAGGGAATCGCAAAGAGAAATAAAAATCGCAACGCGAATTTAGTTTCGCGTTGCGATTTTAGTTTCGCGTTGCGATTCTCTCGTTGCGATTTTCATTTCGCATTGCGATAGTCACTTTTGCCTTCAACATAATGCAGATTGAAATCAACAAAATCAACCATTACATTTCAATCAATTAAACAAGCACAAATAAGAATTATGTTCACATCACATCTACTATTGAATCAACTTTTACAGCCATACATCATTTCACGCAGCTCACTTATGAGATTAAACCTGCAGAAACCAAACCATTTGCTCAAACAACACTTTCTACACATCTAAAACCTACAAACAGCAAATATTGAATTCTAGATACTAACCAAACACTTTCAAACCAAAGCCTATAAACTTACCAATTGTTTATGGACATTTTTATAACGCAGATACAGGTAGGCATCGTCTCGTATATATCGATCTAGCCATATAATACCGAAACCACAAGCCTACTGCAGCTCTATCTCTATCGGTGTGAAGTAGATACTTTATACTTCCTATGATCAAACGCTCCAACGCCAAGCATACGAGGGGACCACAATCCCCTCTGGGTCCTTTCGTTTATTGTGGTGCGGTCTCGTCTCTGCTAACTGTAATATTGAGCTTCTTTGGCTT